ATATCTGGTTTCTGAATACAGGACTGCATCTTTCTCCCAAACCGCTAATATGGATTCGTGACACTTTGTGTTTGTTAGGCGAGTCTTAATATCTTAAGTTGTTTTTTGATAACTGTTTTTTTTTGTATCTTCAGGAGATATTCATAAAACTTGTTTTGGTGGTGTGAGTCTAAGTCGTTCTTCAAAAATAAATTGTTTTTGGTTAGAAGTCGAAGTCGGAATGCGTGGGTCTTCAGTCAGCTTCCTGCGAGGCTGGTCTCAGAGCTAACAGCTCAACTCTGTCTGCGTCTCCTCGGAACTCTTCCGAACTCTCTAACTCCAACTCCAACTCCAACGCCAACTCCAACTGCCGTCTACTCGCTGCGACTCTGTTTATATGGACGCCGACCAAAACCGGGTGTGGATTTGTCGTGGTTTGGGTTCCTCGATAATTCTAAATCAACAATAAGGATTTTCTTTGTTTTCGGACAGGAAAATTATCACTTTCCATTTTTGGAAGTCTATTACTTTCTGCCCCAGAGGGGTTCTTAAGGGAAGCGTCCTCCCAAATTCTTCCTTTCTCATATTGGTATCTCACACCAATCCCCACAGAGGGTGTCAACAGGTTTCCCTTCTCTTTCACAGTGTATCTCACACCAACCCCCTCAGAGGCGTCAACAGGCCTCCCCTCCTTATCATATGTTTACCTTCGCCCACCGCTCACGCCACCACTCATCCAATGACGCTCGGTAGCGCGGGTGTTTACAATTATCGCTCAAAGGAAAAAAATATCTTTCTTTTTTTTTTCTTTCTTTTCCCTACACCAGACCCCTACGACTCGTAGTGTTTTCCTTAATCTCTATCTTAACCGAATGTCATTTGGAATTTATCAACAAGATTTTCGCCAGCGTCAAATGGGTGGTTAACTGGACGTCTTCGCACTCTGTCGCCAATTATCTGTCCCGGTAACAAACTTTTATCATGTCCAGGTCTGGACAATAAAATAGGTGGTCTCTTTCCAAATGATATCTCCGAAAGATAGTTAATGGTTTATTCTTTTCCCTTCCTTTTTCTCTGGGGGTGGCCTCAGCTGATGCCTTTCTCGATCAGTGCGTGACCTGATTACGATTATCTTCCAGCTTCTGTTTCGTAGGCCACTTGACCAATTTGAAATTTTCATTATTGCCATGGGCAGATTGCTATCTTTTATTCGCCGCGTCATAGCATAAATTAATTCCGACAGATCCGAGATCTTACGCATTTCCTATTTTTCGCAAATGAAAATAAAATCTTTACCACTTTTCTTTGTTAAAAAAAATAACATCGCTTTCGTGATAGCTTCTTCTCGCCTTAATTATTTCTCGCTTTTAATTTTCACGCATACGCTAAATAGTGTCATATCGTGGAAACGGGTGGTACTTTTGAAATCAGCACCCAAAAATTGTTTAAAATTAGCCAAAACATCCCATGCACCATTTCAAAAACATTTTTCTAGGTTTGTGTTATTAAAGACAAATCCACCTGAGAAAAGGAAAAACTTTGAAATAAAAGAGAATTCAAATAAAAATATTCTAAATAAAGATTATTAGCCAGGAGGTAGTGAGGTTCATTTAAGAATTTGAAAACTTTTCTTATTTTTTAATATTTAAAATAAAAAGAAAATACAAGAAAAATAGATAAAAGATTTTATTTTAACATTTTTACAATAACTAATTGCATAATACAATAAAAAGTGTCTTCAAAAAATAAAATGTATTTTTAAAAGTTGGATATTTGGATGTTAGCAAACTGTTTCAAACATAAAATGTTCTTTTCTGTTTAGGTTTTGTAAAAAACTTTGCATGACAGAAAACAAGATATTAGCAATGAAAACAAAACAAAAATTACTTAAAATATGAATGGGTGATGCTACTTAACAAAACAAATAATGATAATTCATCATCCTAGAAATTAAGACAAAAAATATTCATTTATTGTTCTAGATTTCTTTTATATTTCAGTTGTGTTTAAGGTTCAAATGTGCATTTATTTATTTTTTTCTTCTCATTTACTTTGACTTGGCCTAATTGTGGCCATTTTTGACAGGATATGATATTCTGGATCAGGAAAACAAAGACTAATCGTGGAAACGGATATTATTTTTGGATTCAGCACCCAAAATAGTTCCTAATCAGCCAAAATATCCCATGAAACATTTTAAAAAAATATTATAGGCCTGTGTTATTAATTTAACTCTCATTTCCTTTTGTCTTGATTTCAATTACTTTTCATTGCAACTACCAATATCTATCGATGAATACTGAGAATACTATGGACAGAATATGGGAGCAACGAGGACGTTTTAAGGAAACTGGGATGGAAGCCGATACTGACACTCAGAAGGAGACAACTGAACGTTCTGGAACACATAACGAGAAAAGCCAACCTGGACAGGGCATAATCAATGCAAGAGATGCAAGAAAAAAGCGAGGTTAGGTAAATAGTTGTCATGACAATAAGGTGTGATAAAGTGCCAAAAGTTGTGGAAAGACATGATCACCAACGTCCCGTAAGGCCATGGCACATAAAAATGAACATCTAGGTTGTCAATCAACAGATCACCGTAAAATGACGTTTTGGGTAGTTGCGATGAAAAGCAACCGAAATTAAGATGACAGAAATACAAGGATAATAATGGTTGACGATTCTTTATATAATAAAAAACAAAAAGTAAGATTACTACAGAATAACTAATTCTATTCTTCTTCTTCAATCTGCCGTGTCCCTTCAGGAAATGGGCGATCACACCTCTCTACAACGTACTATCTCTTGTAGGTCTAAGTAACGTTTGTCTTTTTCGGATAAATTGCATCTATCCCTGTTCCACCATATTCACACAACCTCCTCGCATACATGACACGCTACTTTCTCTTGTCACATTTGGCTTTCTATATGTCCTGTGAGTGTTAAATTCCCCAAGCCTTTATTCCTCATTACGTGCCCAAGAAATCTAAGCTGTCTCTTTCTGATTGTATGCTTTTTGTTTCTATTTTTCTTAAGACTTCTTCGTTGCTTCCGCACTCTATCTATATCTTAAATGCTGCCCGATAGGGAGGCTTTTAAGCTAGTTTATAATAAAACGTGCACTGAAATTTTGGGTGCAAACGGAAAATAAAAGTTATCCCCCTTGAACCATGAAAGCAACGATAATGGCTAGTATAATATATTAATATATATTTTTAACCTCGCATAATCTGGCAACCCTGAATCTGAGCTCAACGAAAATCGTTCCCTGCGCCTAACATTTCTAGGGCTTATGGATTCTTCTGTCTGAAGAGATGAATATTTGAATATATTCATGAAATAATTTATAACCGAATGGATTTTTAAAGATCATCTGTACTTATTATTATTATATTATTATTATTATTATATTGTTCTATTACTTACATTGAGCTCTATTTGGATTAATGTTCTCCTTGGAATTATCATTCATATTATTATATATATATATATATATATATATATATATATATATATATATATATATATATATATATATATATATATATATATATATGTGTGTGTGTGTGTGTGTGTGTGTGTGTGTGTGTGTGTGTGTAAAGTTAATGTATATTTTGGCAGCAACCTTTCTTTTAAATAATACATTTTTTTTCCGGCGTCCTTACATGTTTCTGTCTGTTTAGTGGGAGTAAGGGAATACAAATATTTCCATACATATTCATTGTAACATCCGCTTTCCGCCAATTCTTTAGGCATCGTCAAGGAGGTTGTTTTTTGTTAGGTGGTGCTAGTTTTTCTCCATGTTTTGAGATGTACTATTTGTGTGGTTTTAAATACTAGTAGGAGCGTTTATTCCGAGCCTTGGAATTCAAGTGAGCGTCTTTCTATTCTATTTTCTTTTCTTTTCTTTCCTCTTCTTTTTCTTTTTATTTATTTCTTATTTCACTTATATAAAAGATTCTTTGCCTTTTGTGGAAAATTTTCCACAAATGTAAAAACAAGTGATGTTTCATAAATTGTACTTTTAAATAAAATCGTTTATTGCCATCATTGTTAATACCTGATGAGACGTGTTAAACGTCGAAACAAAATATGCAATTTGTAGTAGTAACTTACATGTCCTAATGTAACAATATATATATATATATATATATATATATATATATATATATATATATATATTAATTATAAGCGCATAGCTGAGTGGTTAGAACGTTCGCTTTCTGAACATGAGACCACGGTTGTTTTGTCAGTTATCGGTTTGAAGCAGGGACGATCTCAGTGCGTCAAAACCATACCACGAGTTGACCCAAGCCTTGTGAGTGAAATTGGGTAGACGGAACACTAGCACGAAGTCTCAAGTCACGGTGACCGAGGGTTTGAGTGTGCTGACGTTGTTCAGATTGTTGAACATGTTAGGTAACACGCTCAGAGACTGTAACTAAGGTTTGCTCAGCATAGTTACAGTATAAATAAACGCAAATGTGCCTGAGCGAGCGTCTGCAATAGGGACGTAGAGTAGACGGGTATCCTCGAACACGAATAGCCAGCTATATATATATATATATATATATATATATATATATATATATATATATATATATGTGTGTGTGTGTGTGTGTGTGTGTTTTTGTGTGTGTGTGTGTGTTTGCTTGTGTGCGGCCGAGTTGTTAGATGGGCATGAGACCCGTGTTCAGTTGATTTTTCTGGGAGGTGACTTATTTCTAATACCTGCCTGAGGAGGCGGTCGCAAAGCACGATAGTAGCTGAAAATCATACAACGGGTTAACCCAAGCCTTGTGAGTGAAAATGGGTGAATGGAACCGTCGATGGTGCTAGCATCAAGTTACAGGTGACCGAGGCTTCGAGCATCATGGCATTGTTCAAAAAACTGATCACGCCAGATTGTGCGCTCTCTCCCAGAAACTGTAACCAATGTCCGTTTAACTTAGTTTCAGTATAAACCACCATCTGTGGGTTGAGAGAAAAAGAAACATATAGTGATAGAGGCAACAGAATCAGTGATAAAAAAGGTGCACTAGTGAAAAACAAAGAGAAAATGGGAAAAAGGAAAGAAAAGGAGATGAAAACGTAAAAGAGGCTAAGAAAGGGGATAAAAAGAGAATGAGGGAGTTAAAAAAAGAAGAAAACGGTAGTAAAGAAAGAAAGAAAATGAAAGTAAAGGGAAAAGAATGTAAAGAAAAAACGAAGTGGGGAAATAGAAATAAGAAGAAAAAAAAACAGAATAAGTAAGGGAAAGAAAAGGGCAATATAAAGAGAGAAAAACAAAAAAAGGACAAACAAAAAATGATGTAAAAATGTAGAAAAAAAATGGGAGATAAGGACAAAAACTATGCGTCAGGAAAAGACCGAGAGTAAAAATTTAAGAACGATAAAAAAAAAGAAAATAAAAGAAAAAAATTAAAAAAAAAAATGAAAAAAAAAACGAAAAAGAAACAGAATGAATTTTCGCGCCAAAATTTCAGCTAATTTGCTTATTTTCACAGCGTTGTCTATACAAACGACGCCATGGCTGTTATATCACAATAGATGTCTAAATAGCAGAACAAAGACATTTACATGATATTTCACGTATCCTTGTATTTCTCGTCTTCCAACAAATGGGTCCTTTTTTTATGAGTTTATTTTCCTGGTGAGTTTGTGGAGAAGCGAGTCTTCAATTATTTTTGATAACAGCGAGATCCCAGACAAAGAAGGGACTGGTGTCGCAACTCAAGCCAAAAAGTGTCCTGTGTCCAGACCAGCTGTTGGTAAACCCCTGCCTCGGCCTTTGCTCTGTTTATGAATAGAGTTTCTGTTATCGGCAAGCATTTGCTGTGTTTAGCGACGGGAAGTGACTTAACATTACGCCGACAGATATCGTCACCCCGTATAAGAAACATAAGCAGTAATGTAAATCTTATCAAAAAGCATGGATAACATGATAGCAAGAACGGGGAAATACAAAGAAAGACTTTGCACTAAAAATGGTTTCGCCTACGACTAACTCATCCCGTTCCATTTTGATTCTGTTATTGTAATCGCCTACAGTCGAAGCAGCCGTCGATACACATTATTATTATTATCATTATTATTATTATTGCTATCTACTGGACTCCTCATTACTCTTTCCGCTCATAATCAAGGTTTCTGTTCCTAATTCTTCCACACCCTGTAAACCCTTGTGTCTTAGTGGTGTCATTGCCTTGTTTGTGGAACTCCCTTCCGGCTACATGCTTTCCAGCCAACTTTAATCTTCAACAATTTAAATGCAATGTCAATCGCCATCTACTGTCTTCTGGATTTTCTTTTCTCTTCCCGGTCATTATTAAGGTTTCTGTTCCTAATTCTTCCACACCCTGTAACCCTTTGTGTCTTAGTAGCTTCATTGCCTTGCTTGTGGAACTCTCTTCCGTCTCCATGCTTTTCCGCCAACTTTAATTATGCAATGTCAATCGCCATCTACTGTCTTTTGGTTATTTCTTTCTTACGATACACACATACACACATATGTACGCACATATACATATCTATATATAAATCAAAATGTAAAATTTAAAAAAGTAAAATTTTAGATGAGTATATGTATGTATGTATATGTATATATGAATATATATATATATATTAAGAAATGGACAAGGTCCGACAATTTATTTATTAAAGACATTTTTTATGTTTAACGTTGTTATTTATAGATACAAGTATTTAAGCAAATGCTCTGTTTATGATAAACAGTATTAAATAACATTTACCGGCCTGAATGTCCGAGAAATTTTCATAGAAAATATTCGTTCTTTGACAGGATTCAAACCTGCATCCTATACGGAACCATCATTTACGCTGACGTGCCTTACCTCTGGGCTACAAAGAACATTTCGGTAGACAAGGTCGAATTTACTGCTTATAAACTTCAATCTTCCATGAATCTCGTACATTCATAACTGCTCTGGCGTATCAAATGTAAACAAATGACGTTATATATTAAGAAATGGACAAGGTCCGACAATTTATTTATTAAAGACATTTTTATGTTTAATGTTGTTATTTATAGATACAAGTATTTAAGCAAATGCTCTGTTTATGATAAACAGTATTAAATAACATTTACCGGCCTGAATGTCCGAGAAATTTTCATAGAAAATATTCGTTCTTTGACAGGATTCGAACCTGCATCCTATACGGAACCGTCATTTAGGTTCTTTGTAGCCCAGAGGTAAGGCACGTCAGCGTAAATATATACATATACTCATTTAATAAATATATACATATACTCATTTAATAAATAAATATATATATATATATATATATATATATATATATATATATATATATATATATATATATATATATATATGTATGTATATGTATATATAAATATGTTGTTGTTACACATATAAATATAAATATGTTGCGTGTATACGCGTTTTTTTAACATAGAAATATAGGTCCTTGCTAGATTAGATAATCGTTATTTATTTTTTATATGTTTATATTTGATTCGTAACCTGTAGTCGATATTAATTTTGTCAAATTTTCTTGATTACACAGCGACCCTTTTATAAATGCCCTTCGGTTATGGTTTCCCCCGCCCCACTCTCTCCCCGACCCCTTTTTCTTTTCTTTTCCTCTCCTTCTCGCATCATCTGATCTTTAAGATTAGATCGTCTATTGTGTGTGTATGTCACCACAAAATGTATCCTTTCCGGTTACATCTTTAATGTATTAGACATCCAAGAATATTCATATTTCTCTCACTTAAACCGCCTTTGACTCCCCTCTTTAAAACTTCTCTCTGTTAAATTTAATCCCCCTTCATCTTTAGACATTCCTGTTCTTCTTCTCTGTTCGTCTCTACCCCTCATTTCTAACATTCGTCCCCACTCTCCTCCCTGACTAAATTTTATTTTTATTCATTTGTTTTTTTCTGTTTTCTTTTTTTAACATTCGTCCCACATTTCGATTCAATGGAATAAATTATGACCATGGAATAAATTTTAAGCCTTTTTTTTTTATTATATATATATTATATTTTATATATATATATATATTTTAAATTTGTAGGTTATTACAATAGAAACGATGCAATAATGAATGTGGATCTAAATAACCTTTTAACCGATTCATGAATGTGTTAATAAATTGAAACCATGGAATTTTAAATGTTTTAAGCCTAATATAAAGAATATTGCTCTACTTTTTTATTATATATATATATATATATATATATATATATATATATATATATATACCGTTTACGTTATTTTTTTGGATAATCGTATTTGAGTAGACGTTTCTTTTATTTATTAAACTGTATAAACATTTAAAAAAAGCCTGAATATTCAAGAGACTTTAATAATGTTTCGATGCTTTGCAGGAATACGCCTCTCACTACATTAGTCCACATTCTAACCTTTACTAACCAGTTTCATAGATCTCCGAGAATTTTTCATATCTGAACAGTATTACATACCAACGCAAACAAAGCGAATTCTACAGAAAGTCATTGTTTTTTTTATTAATCCGTCAGATTTTAAGCATTCACTTTATATTAGATTATATTTATTTCAAATTTGTATTTCTAATATTTTAATATTGATCAATATGCGATTACACCAAGAAGACATTAAGTCAACCTGGGAAACATCGTCTGTAAAGATGGGGGGTGCAGATGAAGACATCAAGCGCCGAATTAACAAAGCCCGACACGCTTTCACCATTACGGCCAATCTGGAGATCAACAGACCTCTCACTTTACAAGATGAGGATCTACAACACCAACGTCAAGTCGGTCCTAGTTTACGGCTCAGAAACCTGGAGGGTAACCAAGACCAACACCCACAAATTTAAGACATTTACCAACCTATGTCTCAGGAACATCCTCAGTATCAGGTAGACAGAAGTCGTCTCCAACGACCAACTGTGGGACAGGACCAGACACGCCCCAATCTAGATTGACATCAAGAAACGGAAATGGGGATGGATCGGCCAGACACTCCGTAAGCCTGCTTCTAGTGTCACAGGCCCTTGACTGGAATTCTCAAGGGGAGCGAAAAATGGGTCGACCAAAACAGAATTGGCGCAGAAGTTTTTCTATTATTAAATTATATTTTCTAATGATAAGGAAGAACCAAGAGAGGAAGGCAAGAATTCGAGAGGAAAAAGAAAGCTTGCAAAAAGAAAGGACATGGGCCTAGTTGAAGAAAATCGCCCGGAACTACGTCCGTTGGAGAGATGCTGTTGAGTCCCTGTCAAGGAATCAAGAGGCATAACTAAAATAATATTGATTAAAAATGTTATTATTTTTTTCCATTAACCTCCATTATTATAAAATTATTTTAGTGAGCGAATTATTCTGTCTATATTTCTGAATATTTACATTATTCGAACTATTGTCCTCATCTTTGTCGCCATATTTATTACAACGTTTCGGACCCAAAGAGTGTGAGTCCAATACCTGGTTAAGGCAGTGGAGAACTTGGAGAGAGGAATTAACAGGAGATAACTGATAATTGACATCCATTAAGCATGGCACGTGGAACTAGAACAGTCTACTCCAATGAGCGAAATAAAGGGTTCAGTTCGACATCCCAACGACTTGAAGAAGGCCAGAGCGTACAACGGCCGAAACGTTGTCATACATTTGGCGACAAAGATGAAGACAATAGTCCGAATAATGTAAATAGTGAGCGACTTTCATCGATTTATTTATTTTCATCGATTTTATTGCTTAATTTTGTCGCCAAGGTGATTTTCTGTTGAGGTAATCAAGTTGAATTTTGTCGTTATAATAAACATGTCTCTGTCAATGTATAAGTAAGGAAGGGGAGTAAAATAGAAACAAAGTGAATGAGTTACAAGAGTATAGTTTAAGTGTGGAAGATTTGGGAAGGCATCGGGGACAATCAGGTTTTGTTTCCGCAGAAACCTCCCACAAACCCGTGTGATATTGAGAGATAGACAAGGCGCGTCGTATTTGTCTTTGAAAGGTCAGTAGAGACATCCCTGGGATTTTTTGTTTGCTTTTTAACGCTATTCACTGCTTGTTCGCTACTTACAGACAACTTGTTTTTTGTTTTTTTTCGACTCTTTTATTGTTCTTTATAAGATAGGCAGACAAGGGAGAAAGAAAATGGAGACATTATCAGAAGAAGAGATGAAATACCAATAAAATGAAAATAGTTAAGAAAGAAAGAAAGAAAGAAAGAAAGAAAGAAAGAAAGAGCAATGGAAAAGAAAGAAAGAAACAAAGAAACAAACAAACAAACAAACAAAAAAGAAAGAAAGAGCAATGGAAAAGAAAGAAAGAAAGAAAGAGCAATCGACAGGAAAGAAAGAGAGAAAGAAAGAAATGGGTGAAGAAAGAAAGAAAGAAAGAAACAGCAATCGACAGGAAAGAAAGAAAGAAAAAAAGAAAGAAAGAAAGAAATGGGTGGAGAAAGAAAGAAAGAAAGAAAGAAAGAAAGAAAGAAAGAAAGAAAGAAACAAACAAACAAACAAACAAACAAACAAAGAAAAAAGAAAGAAAGAGCAATGGAAAAGAAAGAAAGAAAGAAAGAAAGAAAAGAAAGAAAGAACGTGAAATGGAAAAGAAAGAAAGAAAGAAAGAAAGAAAGAAAGAAAGAAAGAAAGAAATGGGTGAAGAAAGAAATGGGTGAAGAAAGAAAGAAAGAGCAATCGACAGGAAAGAAAGAGAGAAAGAAAGAAGGAAAGAAATGGGTGAAGAAAGAAAGAAAGAGCAATCGACAGGAAAGAAAGAAAGAGCAATCGACAGGAAAGAAAGAAAATGCAATCGACAGGAAAGAAAGAAAGAGCAATCGACAGGAAAGAAAGAAAGAAAGAAAGAGCAATGGAAAAGAAAGAAAGAAAGATCAATGGACAGGAAAGAAAGAAAGAAAGAAGGAAA